ACGCTGCCCATCACAACCAAATAAAGGATGATCAAATGAGCATGTCAACTTCCCGCGAGACCAGAGTCTACATTAGGAGCACCCCATCGAAACTGCGCATCCCTGTTCCCAGCATCCGGCAGTTGTGGCTTGGCCTGTGTGGAAGAAGTCAAACAATAAATGCGTAAATTAATGTTCATGACGAACGCTGCCCATCACAACCAAATAAAGTATGATCAAATCAGCATGTCAACTTCCCTCGAAACCAGAGTCTACATTAGGAGCACCCCATCGAAACTGCGCATCCCTGTTCCGAGCATCCGGCAGCCGTGGCTCGGCTTGTGTGGCAGATCAGCAATTTGCAGCGAAACTGAGCAGCGAGGGGGGAAGTAGGCACGTAATGGTGTCTCCTAACCTCTAATCTAAGAAACTAATCGGGCCTCGTGTATGCACCGTATAATTAGCTTACCGGGCGTCGCCGGTACACGGAGTGGGCGGCGGTGGGGCGGACAGGGGGTGGCTACCCCGCTCCCCCCCGGGTTATGGCGAAAGGGCGGAAAAGGGAGGGTGGCGAACCTCCCCTTTATCAAAGGCTCTCTGGCACTTTGCCACGTCGCGCCGCATAATGAAGCAGCACGTTGGCCCGCGACTATACCCAAGGCCGTGTTTTGCTTCGCGGAGAATAGTTTATTGTACGCCGCCGCGAGGTGCTATGATATTCGCGAGTGGCGCCTCTGTGTGTTACTGTGACGCGGGCGCCTCTAGCGGGAAGTGGCTGGTACCTCGAGCCTCCTCGCGATACTTTTTTACCCAACAAGATTCGTCCTACTTCTTTTGATGATCCGAAGGAACGATTCTAGGTCGCATTTGTTATGTTGGCGTCATCATTGAGAGGAAGGACTAGTTAAATTAATTCGTTTTTAACTAGTTAAACTATGAACTAGGGAATATATGAACTAATTCAAAATGTACTCGGGTACTTTTTATAGTGACATTAATTTCTATTCTGAACTAGCAAATCTAAAACCTAGATATCTGCGATTATCTCTTCGTACGAATGTTTGCCATCAGCCAGAGTAAGTATATGAAGAGTATATGTGAAGACAGATCTACCATAGATATGAATATACCAAATATAGATATTTGCGATTATCTCTTCGTACGAATGTTTGTCATCAGCCAGAGTAAGTATATGAAGAGTATATGTGAAGACAGATCTACCATAGATATGAATATACCAAACCTAGATATTTGCGATTATCTCTTCTTACGAACGTTTGCCGTCAAACAGAGTAAGTACATGAATAGTATATGCGAAGACAGATCTACCATAGATATGAATATACTAAACCTAGATATTTGCGATTATTTCTTCGTACGAATGTTTGCCATCAGCCAGAGTAAGTATATGAATAGTATATATGAAGACAGATCAACCATAGATATTTGTAATTATTTCTTCGTACGAATGTTTGCCATCAGCCAGAGTAAGTATATGAATAGTATATATGAAGACAGATCAACCATAGATATTTGTAATTAATTCTTCGTACGAATGTTTGCCATCAGCCAAAGTAAGTATATGAATGGTATATATCATACAGATCAGCCATAGATATGAATATACCAAACATAGATATGAATATACCAAACAAAGATATGAGCATACCAACATAGATATTTGCGATCATTTCTTCGTACGAATGTTTGCCATCAGCCAAAGTAAGTATATGAATGGTATATATCATACAGATCAGCCATAGATATGAATATGCCAAACCTAGAAATCTGCGATTATCTCTTCATACGAATGTTTGCCGTCATGCAGGGTAAGCAACATGTTCGAAAGTCAAACGGCTATCATGTGCGATCCACGACATAAGGTGGCTCGATGTTGGCGGCTCGCAATGCCGATATTAATCACGAACCAGGGGAGAGCCTCTCTCGCATACGGACCCTGCGCTTAACGTCAGCTTAGCTTTATAAATGACCGCTCTCGCGAGCGTATTAAGCGCGGAAATATCCCCGGAATTCCGCCGATCGAAAAAGCCCCCGAGGATATTTAAGGACGATACGTTACGGGTTTTCCGGGGGCAAACCTCCGCGATAAGGCGTTTTCGATTGCGCCCCCGGCCCATAATTGCGACATAAAAGCGCGGCTTAACGTCGCCGGATCCTCCGTAATCGCCCCTTGACCTTCGAGCTTTTTTTTTTCTTTTCCTTTCCTAGGGAGGGTTCCCTAGGATATTATCGCGTAAGGACGATCACCCACGTCCTGGGTCGCCATCTTGTATCCTGCTTTGCCTTAACTATTTTTGCATTTAAAACTATTATACAGCTGTACTCGGTATGGTAGTAGTATTGTATGGTAACTTACAATGCGTGGAAGTTTGCGTGTCATTAAGGGGATGTGAAAATAATTTCTTTTCCCTTCCTAGGGAGGGTTTCTTAGGATATTATCGCGTAAGGACGATCACCCACGTTCTGCGTCGCCATCTTGTCTCTTGGTTTGCCTTAAGTATTTTTGCATTTAAAACTATTATACAGCTGTAATCGGTACGATTGTACTATTGTATGGTGACTTACAATAAAATATNTCGTAGGAAACGCAACGGGAGATGTTGCCTGTGACTCTTATCACAAATATGAAGAAGACGTCGCCATATTGAAACAACTGGGTGTGAGTTTAAAATTAATTAATATTCTATTATGGACTTATTAAATTTATCCTCTGGAATGTTATTATTGTTTATGATCTTCTAAATGTATTATCTGATGATCGGAAGAGTGGATGTTACGTAGGTGATAATCTACACTGAGATTATCACGACTGATTGCACCAAAATTCAGGAGGAAAAGTTCGAGCCCACTTGTCTAAAGACCGGTGATAAGACGTAATGCTTACTGCATTACGTCCTATCACCGGTTTCGGTAATTGTCAAACTGATTTAACGTTAGCTGACCAGGAAAATTACTCTGGCACGTGTACGAAATGACATAACTTGTGTCATCGAATGACGTATCACAAATATTAATTTATCTGAGGTATTGTTCACATAATAGATTAGGTTTACTCCTGATAATTCAATCATAACCAGTTATGATAACCGATTTAACCGGCTACTAAGAGCGCCTAAAAGCGCCCGACGTTTGGTCCAATATCGCCTGCCCGGTCATACGAATTTCGCCTATATGTCGAAATGGCTTCGTATTCAAAGGGTTAATGGATGAAATGTCTCAGCAACTTTCATATCATATTAAACCATCGAAGAATCGGATCCTAGGGATCCAATTTTCGAGTTCATACGAATCATCATCACATACGAGTCTCTCATGAACAATGTTGCATTGTTGCGAAATCCCGTCACTGTTCATCGATCGAAAGTCGTGCATGAAATTAACGATTTCACGTCTGAAAGTTGATGTTATGAACTCGAGAATCGGATCCCAGGGACCCAATCTTCGAGTTCATACGAATTTCTGTCACATATGAGTCTCTCATGAACAATGTTGCATTCATCGATCGAAAGTCGTGCACGAAACCATAAGTTTCACATCTGAAAATTGATCTTATGAACTCGAGAATCGGATCCCAGGGACCCAATCTTCGAGTTCATACGAATTTCTGTCACATATGAGTCTCTCATGAACAATGTTGCATTTTTGTGAAATCCCGTCACTGTTCACTGATCGAAAGTCGTGCACGAAACCATAAGTTTCACGTCTGAAAGTTGATCTCATGAACTCCAGAATTGGGAACCCAGTACTTGTGAAACGTCCTGTATGATTCCTAAATGCGTGGAGTTCACGGATTCTCGGGATTTTTGCTCGCGTGGAGGCGAGCTGCATACGAATACGAGGGTATATACCCCCGGCCCCGAGCTTAAGAGCTTTCTCGTCGATTCGTCCTCCACCCATGGCTTTGTGCTTGCACGCGATCCCACACACGGCCGCGTGAAATCAAAATCCTTTTCCGAGGGATCGATGAGAGCATTAAGGCAAATGTCGAGGCGCGATAGTGTCGCTTTTATTGATATTTCCCTAGATTAATGTAATGGCCTATCCGGGTGATAACCTCGCTTCCGAGCCCATTAATCATCTTCCACGGGCGTCGCCGCCATCTTGGTTGCAACGACGCGTCTTGCATTCGGGGTGCTGAACAATTTTGTCTTGTTCCACGGTGAAATTGTAACTTTAAGGTGAAGTATCTTGTTTACCGACGTCGATGAAGTTCCTCGACGTGTTTCACTTCACCTTAATGGTCCCTCAGGGGCATCGCCGCCATCTTGGTTGCAACGACGCGTCTTGCATTCGGGGTGCTGAACAATTTTGTATTGTTCAATGATAAATGGATAACTTTAAGGTGAAGTATCTTCATCCCCGTTGTCGAGCACATTGCAGTCATTTTGAAATAATTTTCCTGTACTTTGTATAAGAAAACAATTTAATTGTCTTGTCAATACAATGGCCATACCTGAAAGCTTCTGCAATCATGAGCATAAACTTATACAATGTATGGATACATGTATTGAACGTAATTGTCTAGTCAATACAAGGTCCACAGTCATTTTAATATAATTTTCCTGTATTTTGTGTAAGAATACAATTTAATTGTCTTGTCAATACAATGGCCATACCTGAAAGTTTCTGCAATCATGAGCATAAACTTATACAATGTATGGATACATGTACTGAACGTAATTGTCTAGTCAATACAAGGTCCACAGTCATTTTAATATAATTTTCCTGTATTTTGTGTAAGAATACAAATTAATTGTCTCGTCAATACAACATCTACACCTGAAAGCTTCTGCTCTGATGAGCATAAATTTATACAATGTATGGATACATGTATGCAGTATCTTTGTAAGTCAGTAACATTCCATTGAACTTGACGTTCAATCATTGTTATCAGGACAGGTTTCGGATGGTGTACTGAACTATTTGTTCTTATCTCATTAATGATTTTTGATAACCTCTCTCTGTAAAAGCTCAGGGATTTTGCTCTAGAAATCAGTTCAGTCTGAGACTTCCATCTTAAAACATGGGTCTCTACTCTATGCTCCGATCGATTGTCATCGCAATTTTTTTGTAAGTACTACTATACATGTAATGACAGTTTTGGGCTCGTATTTCATCCCTTCAATTATTTACTATTAGGGAACTTGCACTGAAGCTGGTCAAAGAGGAACTATAATTTCCATTTGTTGAAAATGAATGCAATATTCTGCTTTAAATACGCATTCTTTACAAAAATGATCCATATGAAAGTTGTTCGGGGTTATGTTGCGTTGAATTCTTGTTTTAAACTTTTTTCTCTAAAATGCAACATTGCGGCAGAAAACAACATTCCCTAACTTAAAGTGATGCGCAAGTGGCTTCGAAGTGATGGTTTATGAACATTTTCTCTGAACTGGGTGCATCGAATCGTTTCAATGTTTACAATGTAAACGAAAATGTTACAAGGAAGGTCTTGACAGCCATGAAAATCAATGAAACAAAATTTCATTCCACAAATTTTGGAAATTATCAATTAAAAATGAAGTTTCATGGTTGTCAGGGCCATTCTTGAAGCCTTCTTGTTTACATTGTAAACTTCGAAACCATTTGATGAACACAGTTCAAATAAAAGTTTCATGAACAATTGAGCTTTCGGATGCCACTTTCACATCCCCTTAAGCTTTTCGAACGTTTCTATGAATACCATTCACACAAAACTATTCACTATCCCACTCATCGCGAAAGCGTCGACTTTAGAAATTGTTTAAAAATGAAAAACACTAAAAAGTGTAATTGTTATTTTCACTGTATCATTTTCCAGGTTTTCCGAATTCGGATTAATAAATTGCGATGAAGATTTGCAATTTCCCGAGGGATTTGTATTTGGAGCAGCCACGGCTTCTTATCAAGTCGAGGGTGCTTGGAACGTAAGTGGTAAGTTAACATTGCTCCATGTCGATAAACAATAAGACCGAACAATTGGGGAACAATTGTCTCACCGCGGGATTAATTACAGACAAAAGTGAAAACCAGTGGGACCGTTTCACACACAGTGGTAAAAGCGTTATCGTAGGAAACGCAACGGGAGATGTTGCCTGTGACTCTTATCACAAATATGAAGAAGACGTCGCCATATTGAAACAACTGGGTGTGAGTTTAAAATTAATTATCTCCTCAATTAACTTTTCATTTACGGGAAAGGTTGCTTTAATTTCAACGTCGCAGAGAGAACGTTTTTTTCTGAAGTGTGAAGGCATCACCATGTTGAAAACGAATAGGTGTACATTTAAAATGAATTTTCTTTCTCACTTAATCTCTTTCTTCTACGTTTTAAGTGCTGGAGGAGTGATCATATCAGTTTCTAAAAATCGATTTAAAAAAATGCGCATATTATTACCCAAGACTTTCTCTTGTACGACTGTTTCCGAGAAGAATTCGAAAAACAATGTCAGGTTTTTCGCATTTTTCTCAGATACAGTTAGTCATACGAGAAAAAATCGTAGGTAATAATATGCGCATTTTGAATCGGTCTACAACTTTTGTATAAACTATTTTTGCATATAATTAATACTTTACACGATAACAATTTATTTAACTTCATGGTTTTTCTAGATTGTCTAAATTTCGTAGTTCAGAAAAAAAGTTCACTTCGATATGACAAATGTCCGAGTCCCTTTTGAACTATTAAAGCCAATTGAATAATAGTTCATATAACTAGATATTTCTCAAATGAATGCAGCTGCAAATGAACATCTCCATTTCCTTCCGCAGCTTCAATCCTACCGTTTCTCCATAACCTGGTCTCGGAATCTAAATAATAATTAATTTAACTATATATTACTCAAATGAAATCAGCTGCAAATGAACATCTCCATTTCCTTCCGCAGCTTCAATCCTACCGTTTCTCCTTAAGCTGGTCTCGAATTCTTCCAACCGGGTTCCCGAACAAGATCAGCAAAGACGGCGTAGCCTATTACCACAGATTAATCGACGCCCTTCTGTCGAATGGGATCGAGCCGATGATCACGATCTATCACTGGGATCACCCCCAAACCCTGGAAGACTACGGAGGGTGGACCAACGAGCTGATGGTGGACTGGTTCGCCGATTATGCCAGGGTGGTGTTCCAGGAGTTTGGGCAGAAGGTGAAATTATTCGCCACCCTTAACGAGCCAGATTCGGTTTGCATAAGTGCGTATGCTAGAGGCATACATGCTCCCGGAAAAGTGCTGAACGGAATCGGGGATTATCTCTGCATGCACAACATGTTGAAGGCCCACGCAAGGGCTTATCACATCTACAAGAAGGATTTCGAGCCGACTCAAAAGGGCGAAGTCGGTATCGTGATCAACGTCAAGGGTTTTTATTCGAAAGACACAGAAAATGAGGGCGCAGAGGAAGTCTCGTATCAGTTTAAAAATGGCTGGCAGATGGACCCGATTTTTTCCGAACACGGTGATTACCCCAGGCTCATGAGAGAATTGGTGGCTGATAAGAGCAAGGCTGGAGGGTTCCCTCGTTCAAGGCTTCCGGAGTTCTCACGGGAGTGGGTCGATTATATCAGGTAATGTGTGCCCATTTTTATCATCCGGAGGAATCGGTTCATGAAATTTCATGAGGTGATATGAAACAGTCGGACTAGATATGTCGGAGAAGTCTAATTGTTCGTGATAACACTCTCCGAAGTGGGTGCACCGATTCGTTTGAAATTTTCACGCGGGAATGTGGAGTGCCTAAAGTAGGTCCTGAAATTCATGAAATTTCATGAGGTGATATGAAAGAGTTAGACTATTTGTATATGTCTGAGTAGTCAAATTGTTGGCGATAGCAATCTCCGAAGTGGATGTACCGATTCCTTTCAAAATTTACCGCGAGAATATGGAGTACCTAAAGTAGGAACTGAAACTAATGAAATTCCATGAGTAGGCCCTGTAACTCATGAAATTTCACGAGAAACTCTTGAAACTCATCAATTTTCACGAGTAGGTCCTGAAACTCGTGAATTTCACGAGTGGATCCTGAAATCCATGAAGTTCCATGAGTTTCAGGTCTACTAATGAAATTTTCTGAGTTTCAGGATCTGCTCATGAAATTTCGCGAGTTTCAGGATCTACTCATGAAATTTCGTAAGTTTCAGGACCTACTAAAGACTCAAGACAGATGAGGCCCCAGACAATGAAGGGTATTCCGTAGATTAATTTAATAATTATTTAATTATTCTTACTCTCAAATAGGGGATCGTCTGATTTTTTGGGAGTTAATTATTACACGGCAAATGTGGTTGAATACGGCACAGTCGGGCCAGATCCGTCATATTTCCGAGATCAAGGAGTTAATGAATATTTCCATCCATCTTGGAAGCCAACTGCCTCGGATTGGCTTTATGTAAGTAAATGAACAATTATATACGCTGATAAAAATCGTCGGGAATTTATATACATTGTTACATACCCTTTAACTGAAGGTTTACGTCGAAAAACGAAATGAAATTTTACCTCGAATCATTAAAATAATTTGCTAAGTTTCCTTCCTAATTCCTAACAAAAAAAAAAATGGTTGCACTCGCGTGCACACTTTATTTCGTTCTAACCTGTTCAGATTTAATTTTTGGATTTCATTCAATACAGAAGATATCCAAAGTAATGTTCATAGAGTGAAAAAGTGATTTTCGCTCCTTTTTTTTCAATTAAAAATTCCCGCGTCGGAATAAATTTCCATTCCATTCGATTTGATATTAATTTATGATTCAATCAGAAATAAGCAGATGAAAATTGTTGGATGGAGTGAAAAGTTATTAAAAAAATCGACCTCTTATGAGATACCTATCCTGTATAGTATGAACGATTTACGGAAGAATTAGATGTAATTAGACAATTATTAAGGTGTTTCCTAATTTCGTTTCAGCAAGTGCCACAAAGCTTTGGCAAGACTCTTCGTCGGATTGCACGAGACTACAAAAATATTCCTTTGTATATTACGGAAAACGGAATGTCGGATGTCGGAGAGATGAATGACGATCACAGAATACAATACTATCATGATTATATTAAAAGCATGCTGCTAGCAATGAAAGAAGAAGGCGTCAATGTTAAAAGATATTATCTGTGGTCGCTCCTGGATAATTTTGAGTGGCACAATGGTTACAGGTAATTATTAAAATAAATCATTTGGACTATAAGAGACTACAAAAGGCACCATAGGTAAACAATACATAGTCCCTTGCATTTCATTCTGAACATATGAACGCGTATTTCATGTGAGACAAAATGTACAAATTGTACCCAAATGTGTTTGGCTCGAAACTCTGTCGGATTTCATGATACAAATGCCCTCAAGTTTTTAAATGATCAAATCAAATCAAATTTTTAATTAATTAATTAATTTAAATATGAACTAATTACACGCAAATGTATACAATTAATTGTCACCTATACAATTTGCAAACGAGCAACCCGAACGCAATTGATTGCGATGATTAACTTTATTTATAATCATTCAAATTGACATTATTAATAATTAAATTTCATTTTGTATCGCACATTTGGGGTAGCGAACAAATTTTCTAAAGAAGCATTGTATTTCATTTTGTTGCAGTGAACGCTTCGGCATTGTTCATGTAGACTTTGAGGACCCCAACCGAACAAGAACTTTGAAGAAATCTGCATATTGGTGGCAGCAAGTCGTAAAACAACGCAAACTATTGTCTAATGTTTCTGTAAATCGTGCATGAACACGTAAGAAAGACATGATCTTATATATAAACAAAACAGACGGATTGTGTTCAGCAAAAGATTGTTCCATAAACTATTATGATTTGTTTCTTTGTAAGACGTATATTGATCGTATCTATTTATGGTAATTGATTAGAATCTGATTTGGAATTATATATGAGCGACATCCATACGACATGGACATGCGGAATTATTTGTACCGATTATACAAAATAAAGTACTCCACGTGTCATTTATGTATATGGATTATAGAGAAACCTCCAAAAATGTCCTTAATACTTGAATTTTTATACTCTAATCGACCGCAAGCGCCATCTGTTGCATTCATTGGCAACTAATTTTTCCCTCTTTCGTAATTATGGTAATGTACAATTGGGAAAGCACATTGCGGCTACTTATAATTGTTTTCCATGCTTAATATAATAAAATACTATAGTTACTTAGTAATGCCTTGAATATAATAGTATGTAAAAAAATAATTCAGGTGCTTTCAGGATTATAATGCACGTTGCATCCATTTTTAATTGTTTTTCCTGCACTTGTGGTAAAAAAGGAATTTAATTGTTTCACCAATATGACGTCACAAGTGAAATCAGCTCCGACGAGCATAAACTTATACAATGTATGGATACATACTTGCGTTATTTTTGGAAATTGTTAATATTCCTTTCAACTTGACGGTCAATTATTGTTATCACGACAGGTTTCCGATGTTGTAGGGAACTACTATACTTATCTGAGTAATAGTTTTTGATAACCCTGACTATGTAAAACCTGAGGGATATAGTGCCTAGAAAGCAGTTCGGTCTCAGACTTTCGTTCTAAAACATGGGTCTCTCCACTATACTCCGATCGATCGTGATCGCAATTTTACTGTAAGTAGTACAATACATGTAATTACGGTTTTGAGCACTTATTTTATCCCGTACACCATTTTATTTTAAGAAACTGCCACTAAAACTCGTCAAGGAAGAAGTACAATTTCCATTTGTTCAAAATGAACACAATATTCTGCTTTAAACACGCATTCTTTCCAAAAATGATCCAAATAAATGTTGTTCCGACTCATGTTGCGGTGAATTTTTGTTTGAAACTTTTTTTTACGAAATGCAAAATTGTGGCAGAAAACAACATTTACTAATTTAAGAACATGCGTGTAGCCTCCGTTGACGGTAATTCACAACGCGATGAATTACGCTGAAATACTACGATTTATTATGAAACGATATAAATAATTGGATTATTAAGATATACAACAATTCACGTAAGTACAGTCTACTAAACATGCCAGGAAATTTCATTACTTATGTCAGTATCCGCATAGATTCGTCCTTTCCTGTATTCAAATCACATGTACGTTATTAACATTCATATTGGTGATAAGAGTTTAAACGGCAATTACTTTGAGTGTTATCACTCAAGAGAGTGCACTTTTAAGCTCTTGGAATATTTCTATGTGTACAATCCACACAAACAATCCACTACTCCACTCATCGCGAACGCGTCGACTTTAGAAATTGTTTAAAAATGAAAAACAATAAAACATGCAATTGTTATTTTTACTATATCGTTTTCCAGGTTTTCCGAATTCGGATTGATAAATTGCGATGAAGATTTGGAATTTCCCGAGGGATTTGTATTGGGAGCAGCCACGGCTGCTTATCAAATCGAGGGTGCTTGGAACGTAAGTGGTAAGTTAACATTGCTCCATGTCGATGAACAATAAGACCGAACAATTGAGGAACAATTTTCTCACCGTGGGATTAATTACAGACAAAAGTGAAAACCAGTGGGACCATTTCACGCACAGTGGTAAAGGCGTCATCGTAGGAAACGCAACGGGAGATGTTGCCTGTGACTCTTATCACAAATATGAAGAAGACGTCGCCATGTTGAAAAAGCTGGGTGTGAGTATGAAATTAATTATCTCCACAATTAACTTTTCATTTGTGGTAAAAGTTGCATTAATTTCAGCGTCACGGAGAAAACGCTCTTACCTGAAATATGAAATCGTTACCACCTTCAAACGCCTTAAGATGTTCATTTCAAATGAATTATTTCTTTCAGTTAGTCCTTTTCATTTACACTGATAAAAATCCATGGAAATTTACATACATTTTAAAACACTTCATAACATACGTTTCACATGGAAAAACCTGAAATGCAAGAATTGCATATTAATTTATAAATTGCCGCATTTCGTACAAATGCCCCAATGCTTTTGTGCAAATTACGGATTTCATTTTTCAGGTTCTGCCGAGCTTTTTTCGACATTTTCGCCACTGCATGCCGCGAAGAAAATAATATGAACATGCAAAGATGGCGACGAAACTGCAATCTGAAATTGATCGGGTCATACGTCAAGTACTCGCGCATATCATTACCCATCCCCGTGGAAATCGATTCGGAATATTTGAAATTGGTATCAATGAAATCCTTGACATGGCCTGGCTTTCATAATCACTCGTTAAATATTCATTTCCATGCAGATGTTAAGAAATATGACATGCGCAATCGGTTATGTCATCGAGTCGCCGATTTCTACTGCTAATTGAATGCCTAAGTTAGTGAATTTACTTTGGGTAAAAAATTTTCTGCTGACCCATAGATGCCAATAAGTTGATATGAAATGGCCATTATGTATATATAGAAACGTCAAACTATTTATGAAACTTTTCGCGAAACTGGGTACACTGAGAAATTTCAAAAACGTTCCTAGATTCCGTACTTCAGAATAAAAAGTTCATTTCACTATGACAAGTATCCGAGTCCCTTTCGAACTATGAAAACTAGTTGAATAATAGTTCATTTAACTAGATGTTTCTCAAATGAATGCAGTGCAAATGAACGTCATTTCATTCCGCAGCTTCAATCCTACAGTTTCTCCTTAAGCTGGTCTCGCACTCTAAATAATAGTTAATTTAATTAGATGATTTTCAAATGAAAGCAGTGCAAATGAAAGCCTTCATTTCATTCCGCAGCTTCAATCTCACCGTTTCTCCATAAGTTGGTCTCGGAATCTAAATAATAATTAATTTAACTAGATGTTACTCCAATAAAATCAGAGCAAATGAACATCTCCACTTCATTTCGCAGTTTCAATCCTACCGTTTCTCCACAACCTGGTCTCGGAATCTAAACAATAGTAAAATTAACTAGATGTTTCTCAAATGAAAGCAGGGCAAATTAACGTGTTCATTTAATTCCGCAGTTTCAGTCCTACCGTTTCTCCATAAGCTGGTCTCGCATTCTCCCATCTGGATTCCCGAACAAGATCAGCAAAGTCGGCGTGGACCATTACAACAAACTAATAGACGCCCTCCTGGCGAACAACATCGAGCCTCTGGTGACGATATACCAGTGGGATCATCCCCAGGTCCTGGAGGAATACGGAGGCTGGACGAACGAGTTGATGGTGGACTGGTTCAGCGAATACGCCAGGGTGATCTTTCGGGAATTTGGTCAGAAGGTGAAATTATTCGCCACCCTTAACGAGCCGGATTCGGTGTGCCTAATTGGGTACTCCCTAGGGATCAATGCTCCAGGAAAAAAGCTGGACGGAATTGGGACCTATCTTTGCATGCACAACATGTTGAAGGCCCACGCAAGGGCCTACCACATCTACAAGAAGGAGTTCGAGCCCAGTCAAAAGGGAAAAGTCGGGATCGTCATCAACACCATGAGCTTTTATCCGAAAGACCATGATAATGTTGGCGCGGATGAAATCGCTTATCAGTTTAAAAATGGCTGGCAGCTGGACCCGATTTTTTCCGAGCGCGGTGATTACCCCGAGCTCATGAAAGAAATGGTTGCTAATAAGAGCAAAGCCGGAGGGTTCCCTAGTTCCAGGCTTCCGGAGTTCTCACGGGAGTGGGTCGATTATATCAGGTAATGCGTGCCCATTTTTATCATCCAGAAGAATCGGTTCATGAAATTTCATGAGGTGATGTGGAAGAGTCAGACTAGATATGTCGGAGAAGTCTAATTGTTGGTGATAACATTCTCCGAAGTAGGTGTACCGATCCGTTTCAAATTTTACCGCGGGAATATGGAGTACTTAAAGTATTTCCTGAAACTCATGAAATTTCGTGAATAGGTCCTGAAACTCGTGAAATTTCATGAGTGGGTCCTGAAAGTCATGAAATTTTATGAGGTGATATGAAAAGGTTAGACTATATATGTATGAGAAGTCAAATTGTTGATGATAGCAATATTCGAAATGGGCGTACCGATTTGTTTCAAATTTTACCGCGAGAATATGGAGTACCTAAAGTAGGTCCTGAAATTCATGAAATGCCATGAGTAAGCCCTGTAATTCCTGAAATTTCAGGAGAATGCCCCGAAACTCATGAAATTTCATGATAAGTCCCCGAAACTTATGAAATATCACTAGTAAGTCCTGCAACACCTGAATTCTCATGAGTAGGCCCTGTAACTCATAAAATTTCATGAATAGGTCCTGATGCTCGGAAAATTTCATGAATAGGCCCTGAAGCTCATCAAATTTCATTATTTGTTTGCAATCTCTGCTAAATATCTCAAGCAATAGATTCTTTAAGATGTGAAATTTCATTCGAAGACATTTAAAATATTTATTGGAAATCTCAATGGCACATTTAGTTTTAATAATTTATGAACATATATGGAAGTTACATTTTTTAATTTCTTCTCTCAGATTTTAAATTTCTTCTCTCAAATTTTAAATTTCTTCTCTCCTTCTCTCAAATAGGGGAGCGTCTGATTTTTTGGGAATTAATTACTATACGGCTAATTTGGTTGAATATGGCACAATTGGACCGGATCCATCGTATACCCGAGATCAAGGAGTTATTCGAACCTTTGATCCATCTTGGAAGCGTGCCGCCTCGATTTGGCTTTTTGTAAGTAAATCACCCAATCAATTATATTCCTACTAATTTTAAATAATTTTACAATTAAATAATTTGTAAACATTTCCCGTCAAAAATTATACATAAATTGAATATTCAAACAGAAATTAACTTTTGAAATTTGGAGTATGGAGTAAAAAGTTATTAAAAAAAATTCGACCTGATATGAGAGACCTATCTTGTATAGTGTGAAGCATTTACGGGACAATGACATGTAATTAGACAATTATTAAGGCGTTTCCTAATTTCGTTTCAGCAAGTGCCGCAAAGTTTCGGCGACATCCTTCGCAGGTTTGCACGTGACTACAAGAATATGACTTTTTTTATTACGGAGAATGGAATGTCAGATAAAGGAGAGATGAATGACAATGACAGAATTCAATTCTATCATGATTACATTAAAAGTATGTTGACAGCAATGAAAGAATATGGCGTAAATGTTAAGAGATACTACACGTGGTCACTAATGGATAATTTCGAGTGGAGCAGCGGTTACAGGTAAATATAAAAATTAATAAATTCAATATGTATCTATAGGAGACCAGAAAAAAAAAAACACCATAAGTGTATAAAAACTAAACAAAATGCACGAAATTCGCACGAAGTGCGACATGCGTACATATGTTGGACATTTCATGCATGAAATCTTCTGCAAATCGTTCGTAAATCGATTTTTCGCGTCATATGATGATCATGAACAAAACATATTTCTCGGTTATGGCATAACTATGATTCGAGTATGTGGTAAATAAATTGCTACAACCATTTATGACAAATTTATAGTGCAATGTCCGTACATATGTTGCAGACATTTCATGCATGAAATGTTCTGCAAATTGTTCGTAAATTGATTTTCCTCGTCATATGATGATCATGAACAAAACATGTTTCTCGGTAATGGCATAACTGACCTTTGACTCGAGTGTGCAGTAAATAAATTGCTACAACCATTTAGAACAAATTTGTCATTCAACAAGCGTACATATGTTGCAAACATTTCATGCGCGAAATCTTCTGCAAACATTTCATTCATGAAATTCTCTGCAAATTGTTCGTAAATCGATTTTCCTCCTCATACGATTATGAATTTCAATCTGGGTAGCTAAAGAAGCATTGCATTTTCTTTTGTTCCAGCGAACGCTTCGGCATTGTTCATGTAAACTTCACGGATCCTAACCGGACGAGAACTTGGAAGAAATCTGCATATTGGTGGCAACAAGTCATACGACAACGCAAACTATTGCCCGATGTTAATGTAACTGTTGCATAAACACGTAAAAAAGATGTAATCTTTATTTATTATATCGAATAAAAGCATATATCAAACACATATATAAAATGAAAGCTGAATGTTCATCTTGGTAAAAAATAAAATCCAAATCTTTCTCCTGGAAAAAAAGAAAAGAGTATTGGAATGAAACTTCGCTTCCCTCGTGCCTCATATATCGAATAAAAGCATATATCAAACACATATATAAAATAAAAGCTAAATGTTCATCTTGGTGAAAAATGAAATCCAAACCTCTGGTCCAAAATCCAAATCTCCTGGAAAGGAATAAATAGAAAGGAAAAGAGTATTGGAATAAGACTTTCCTTCCCTTCTATAGTGATAGTGGAGTGCATTATTAACATAGTTGCAGAACCTCCTTCAATAGGTCGATATCGCCTCCACGACCTTTCTATTCTAAGATTGATTCTAAGAAAGGGCTTCTGTATCCTATTTCCCTTCGTTGCATGTGGTTATCATTACTAGCGGCTCTTTATGAAATAGTTATGAAACGAAACGCTTTGCCAGGAGGCAGACTAGTTACCTATTTAATAGTTGTTCCCCATACAGGTGTTCCTCCTTCCGTGTTTCTTGCATTGTAAGAGGAAGTGCAATTTAACAATTAAACTCGCAATTGATCGGACTCAATTCCAAGTTATTATAAGAAGAAATTGCAAAGAAAAAATACAAAAACAATGTTGACACGACTTTCGAACTGATGTTTACGTACAAATTTCTATTACCACTGCTGATAATAAAATAATCGGTAATTTGCAATCATGCCCACAATTGATCGGACTCAACTCCTGGTTATTCTACAAAGAAACTGCAAAAAAGGAATACAATAACAATGTTGACACAACTTTCAAACTGATGTTTACGTACAAATTATTACTGCTGATAATAAGATAACCGGTAATTCGCAATTATGCCCGCAATTGATCAGACCATTTTCAATGTATTCTAAGAAGAGGCCGCGGATAAAAATTGAAATGATAACGTTAAGATGATATGAAAGGTTCATATTTATATATAGACCTTAAGGATGAAAGTAAATTGACACGATATTGCGACATATGTCACTAAGTTATTAATCATTGATAACCCCACACTACGAAGACTGAGGGGGTGATAAGACGAGAACGTTAGTTCTGTCTGAGACTTCCATTATAAACCATGAGTCTCTCCACAATTTTACGATTGACTGTTATTGCAACATTTTCGTGAGTGATACTATATATATATCAGGCGACAGATTTTTTTAAGACGTCTCGTGGATTTCATTCGGAGATATCTAAAATATATATCTTGAAAAATTCAACGACGTATTTAGGGTTTCAATAATTTATGAACAAATTTCAGTGTTCGTATACTACGTATTTAGAGTTTGAATAATTTATAAACATATTTCAATGCTCGTATACGACATATTTAGAGTTTCAATAATTTACGAATATTTAAATATGTTCATAAATTATTTAAACTCTAAATACGTCGTTGAGATTTTCAAGATACATATTTTAGATATCTCCGAATGAAATCTACGAGACGTTTTAAAAAAATCTGTCGCCTGAGAAGTTCAGCAGGGATTACGAAGAAGTGTCTCAAAAATTATTCCGTGCTACTAGGGTTTCATTTTTCTTTGTTCCCAGAATTTGCGAATTCGGGTTCATAAATTGTGACGACGATCTGAATTTCCCTGAAGGATTTGTATTGGGAGCAGCCACGGCTTCTTATCAAGTCGAGGGAGCCTGGAACGTAAGTGGTAAGTGAACATTGTTCCATGTCGGTAAATAATAATGCCGAACAATTGAGGAACAATTATCTCACGAGACTTAATCATAGATAAAGGTGAAAACCAATGGGACCATTTCACGCACAATGGAAAAGGCGTTATCGTAGGAAACGCAACGGGAGATGTCGCCTGTGACTCTTATCACAAATATGAAGAAGACGTCGCCATATTGAAACAGCTGGGTGTGAGTATGAAATTAATTATCTCCTCAATTAACTTTTCGCTTTATGGGAAAAGTTGCTTTAATTTCAATGTCACAGAGAGAACGCTCTTATCTGAAATGTGAAGACCTCACCATGTTGAAAACGAATAGGTGTACATTTAAAATGAATTTTCTTTCTCACTTAATCTCTTTCTTCTACGTTTTAAGAGCTGGAAGAGGGAGCATATCAGGTTGTAAAAATCGATTGTAAAAAATGCGCATATTATTACCTAAGAC